TGGGGACACATGGTCTGTTTGGGAACACTGGGTGGGTCAGGGTGCCAACAGGCGCATCCAGATAGCCGACCCGCCTCCTGGGGAATGGCAGAGCCCAGTGCCCTGCCGTCTGGGGTGCCTGAGTGTCTCCAACTGGCCCTGGGTGGCCTCTGGCAGCAGTGGGGCCCTGGCTCCCACGGCTGCCTGTGGCGGCGGCTGAATGAGACGCAGCTGGAAAATCGGGCTCAGTACTCTTCCCGGAACTGCTGTTCCCTCCCCAGACTTGGCAGCTGACAGCTCCAGGAGAGGCATTGGCCTGAGGACTGCATCCTGGCCTTGCCCTCCTCACTCCCATCTCTGTCCCCAGGGGGACACGCCCAGGGGTCAGTGTGTGCCCTAGGGCAGGGGTCCCCACAGGATGGCTGGGGTTGGCATAGTGAAGGAGGGCTCAGTGTGGCAGGGGAGGGCGGGAGGAACCCGGAAGCACAGCCCCCACTGGGGAGCCCCCATGGCCTTCCATGTTGGATAGGCAGGCAGGCAGGCAGGCAGGCCAGCCTGGGGCCAGGAGGGTCAGTGCAATACAGGTCCAGATGGCTCTGGTGGGCTTGGGGCCCATGTAGGTAGAGGGGTCTGCATACCCCCCTAGTGGTCCGGGCTGGGGTCTCTGGCTACCCATCACCCTGAGTTGGTCAGTTTGTGGGAATCCTCTCCAATCTCTGGTGCCTGTGTCCCCTCCTGTTCCAGCCAGCATGTCCTCAGGGGGCGCATGGACCCCTCTTTGCCCTTCGAATGGGCAGCTCTGGCTCCGCCTCACTTGATGGAAATGTGCTCATCTCTAGAGCCAGAGCACTGCAGACAGGAGGAGCTGGGGGGCAGTTGGGGCAACACCAACAAGGCTAGCACAGGATCTTGTGAGGGAGGGAGGATGGAGATACTGGGACCCCCGTGTGCCCTGAGACCACCTCATTTTCCCTGGAGCTCCCCTCACAGCCCCGTGTTCCGCTTCCCTTACCCCCATACCATCATGGTGTACACGTCATGGTCACTGGGGACACAGGCAACAGGCCTGTGGGGGTTACCCCACCACCACTACCAACTGCTGGGGCCAGGACAGATCCCTCTGCCTCCTGCCCCCAGCTCCAGGAAGAGGTGGGTCCTTATTGCCAGGCTCTGTCAGACCCTCCCTCAAGAAGAAGGTGGGCAAGCTGGCCTACTCTCAGCAGCGAAAATAGCCCCCACCCCTGGAGCCTGGGCTGAGGGGGTGGGGGCTGGCGAGGGGGCGCACCAAGCCATCCTGCCAGAGGGTAGAGGCTGCAGCCCCTGAAGCCTGGGCCTGGGGAGGGCGCCAGGCCATCCTGCCAGAGGGCGGAGGCTCCGCTGGCCCTGAGCAGCCCTTACATAAGAGCTGGCGGCAGAGCCCAGCCCTGGTCCTTTCCAGAGCGGCGGCCAGCGCGGGTGGGGGTGCGAGGCCGACTGGCACCCGTCCGGGCCTCTGACCGCACGTGTCTGGAATGTGCAGGCGTCTCTTTTGGGGGCTCCGCCAGCCCCCAGGCCCCTCCCATGTCTGTGCTGGAGGGGCACGGCTTCCAAGTTGCTCCCTGATCGGTTGCTGGGCACTAGCCTTTGCAGCCGCCTCCTCCCCACCCTATACCTTCTCTCCAGCATCGCCTGGCCCAGGCGGGAGCGGTGGGGTGCGGGGAACCTTGGGGGCCTCCTGGCAGCAGCAGTGGGGACCCTCCCTCCTTTCTGCTCGATGCCGGAAGGCAGGGTCAGAGGTTGGATGCAGAGGGGACCTGGAGGGGGCAGCGCAGTAGCTCCTGGTGCCTGAAAGGCAAGGGCAGTGGGGTCCCCGAAGGGGGCAGACCTGTGGGCACTGTGGGGAGAGGGGGCCATCCTGGTCCCACTGTCTTGGCAGAGTGGTCCTTTGGACCTGGGGGGTGGGTTGGGAAAGATGAGGAGGGGCTAGAGGGGTGGATTCCCGTGATATCTCTTGGTACTGGGAGAAATGCTCTAGTGAGTCCCCTGGTCACCCCCACTCCAAGCCGGCCTGCTCCCCATCCAGCCCTGGCTGTGGGGCCCCTGATGGGTATCCTCAGCTTGGGGCGTGGCACCAGCCTACAGGGTGGCCCAGTTGAGGTGGGCAATGTGGAGCAGGGGTCCTCAAACTTTTTAAACAGGGGGCCAGTTCACTGTCCCTCAGACCCGTTGGAGGGCCGGACTATAGTTTAAAAAGAAAAACTATGAACAAATTCCTATGCACACTGCACATATCTTATTTTGAAGTAAAAAAACAAATGTGGCAAAAATACCTGGCGGGCCAGATAAATGTCCTCAGCGGGCCGCATGTGGCCCACGGGCCATAGTTTGAGGATGCCTGATGTGGGGAGACTGACCGTGCCCCCATCCTGGGCTCCACGGGCTTCCTACATGTGGGGGTGGGTTAGCAGGCTGAGATGTTGGGAGCTGCGGGAGAACTGGCCAGGCCTCGGTGCCCCCCCACCCCCAAACACACACACACACACACTGTGATGTCAGAAGCAGATGGAGACGCAGAACTCGGCTGACCCCAGGGGGCTGCTAGGATCCTCCCCAAGACCCCTTCCTACCCCTGGGCTCCCCCATGCAGGTCTGACCCAGTCCCGCCACCTAGCCTCTCTGTGGTCAGGCTGGGGGTTGTGGCCAGGTTTGGGGTGGCAGGGAGGCACCTTGGTGGGGGCCAGACTGCCAGACTTTATAAGGATAAAACCAATCCCTCCAGGCGTTCTGGGACCCAAGGGCCAGAGCCCTGGGTGGGCACTGTGCTTCCTGCATTGAGGCTGAGCTGTCCCTCAGGTGCTCCTCTGGCTGCTGTTTCTGATGGATTTTCCAGAAAATGGGGCGTGGAAAGAAAGCATCTTAAGAGTTCGGTTTAAAAAAAAAAAAAAGAGTTCGGTTTTCCCTGTTTCCTGCTCCTGCAGAGCCATGCTGGGAGCTGGCCCCTGGTGACCCCGTGGCCATGTGGAGGCAGGTGTGGGCCAGGTAGACCCCAGCCTTGTTTGTCCCCCGTATTACCCCATGCTCCCAGTGTCCCCAGCCCCATCCCGCACCCTGCAGATAGTGATTCTCCCATCATCTCCTTAAACCCCACGTGCACACATGCACACACACACACACACACACACACACACACACACACACGCTGATTCCTCCTTAAAGGCAGATTCTATAACCATTGAGACTTCAGGTCGGGGAAGTCCCTACCGGGATCAGGGCATTACCCTGTGGGCCGTCCTGCTTGGGGAATGCTGGACCGAGTGCATGGGGGATGGTAGTGCTGCAGGAGTGTGTTGGGGCTACCAGGACAGTCTGCCCAGGGTGGTTCTCTGTGAATCCACTAGGGCTTGGGAGCACGTGGGGCTGAGCGTGCCTGGGGTGGATGAGGCCCTGGAACCTGCGTGTTTTCTAGGCACTGAGAGGCCAAGTGGGGAGAGTGGGACCCTCCATTGTCAGAGATGGGACACTGAAGCGACAGCAGCCCTGCCCTCCTGCCCCCAGCATCTGAACTGCCCTCCATCTATTCAAACTTCCAGAGCCTTCAGGGGCCGGGCGTCCACCCAGGGCCTGCAGGCTCCTCGCTGCTGCCCTTCCTGCATTGGCCACAGGGAGGACCCAGGTCCTGCCTACCGGGGAGATGAACGTCAGCGCCCTTGGATCTTTCTTTCCTTTTATACTTTGGGGATGGGCATGCCTTCACTCTCCTTACCACCAGTCCCCCCGAGTGGTAGATGTTGGACTGCACGTTTGAAAATCTTTTGAGACCTAAGCGGGGTTGACAGAGCTGCAGTACCAGAGCTGGCCGCGAGGGGGGAGTGCTGGGCTCACAGTGGGAATTACAGCGTCTGAACCGGCTACATTGTTTAAACCAGGGTCTCTTCTAATGGAGTGTAGTTGTTTACATAACCTCCACGATTTGTGTTTCTGGTCAGTTGCTCTCATTTTTATCTCTGGGTTTGGTTTTGTTTCATTTGGCGGGGGTGGGGGGGTTGGCATGGTGTTTTTTGTTGTTTGGAGAGAGGGCAGCCCTCCTACAAACTTCCTGTTCCGCTGGTCTGTTTCCATAAAGACTGAAGGCCTTGGAAGCCCTTGGGACAGTTCTGGTCAGTCCTCTGGTCCGCTGTGAGTGGGAACTGATGCGCTAGTCTCTGGCTTGGTTTGAGGGAGCTGTATAGGGTTTGTTGACCCCTTCGTTTGTAGTTGGGCCTCTAATCTTGAGTGTGATCATTGTGGGTGGGATGGCAACTCTGTAACCGGTTTAATCTGTTAGTCTCTGATATATCGATACACTGTTTCTCTGCTCCTTGGTAGCTTTTTCCAGGCCCTGCCCTCTCTTGGATGGTGGGTGTGTGTGTGTAGGGGGGTGGGGTAGGGGAGGGGGGGTGTCCCTCTCTTCCACCAATCAGCCCACCCCCCACCGCCTGCTGCTCAGTTTAAAATTCTGTAAATTCACAAAGTTATGTTTGGCCCGTTCTTGCTGCTTTTTGCTTCCCGATGATCTTGTTGGTCCAGTGGGGTCTAACTGCACCTGACCCCCCACCATCATAGCCAGGCTGGGGTCAGCCAGTAGAAGCCTTCCCACTTAGAGCATCTTGGGCCGTTTCAGGAATAGTGAGGCAGGCCCTAGCCACCCTGCCCAGGGGCCTTCCTGCATGTGTGGCCCCTGGTCCAGTGACGTGGCTGTCTGACAACTTCTGAAACAGCTAGGATCTCGTGGGCAGGGGAGGCGGGGCACATGCCTATGCTGGTTTGGAAGGTGTGAGAGGCCCAGGCCCTCCCGACAAGCCTTCATTTGCATGCCCCCTCAGAAAAGACCCTCCCACCCCGCCACTACACACACACACACACACACACACACGCACGCACGCACGCACGCCAGGCCAGGCCAGGCATGGGGAGGGCGAGCTGGGCTACAGCTGAAGGCTGAGGGTGACTCTGGTTCACAGTTGGGGTCCAGCACTGACCAGGCCTCTTGCCCCTAGGGACGTCTCCCACAACCTCCTCCGAGCACTGGACATGGGGCTCCTGGCAAACCTCTCGGGCCTGACGGAGCTGTGAGTGCCTGGGGGAGGGGACTGTGAGCTGAGCAGGGGTGGTTCATGCCCCCCCCCTCGGCTCTGGGGGCGTCCCCCCAACATGCCCCGTGCTGCTCTCTTCCAGGGACGTGAGCAACAACAAGATTTCTGCGTTAGAAGAAGGAATGTTTGCTAATTTATTTAATTTAAGTGACCTGTGAGTTTGGGGTCATGGGAGGGCGGTGTGCCTGTGGTCCTGCCCTGCCCACCTGCCCAACCTCTGTGCTCCTTAAAGTTTGCCTGCAGACCCTGGATGGGAGGGCCCTGGGTGGTGAGAGGGGGTGCCCAGACCCCAGGTCCCTGAGCATGGACCTACCCCTCCCTACAGAGACCTGAGCGGGAACCCGCTCGAGTGTGGCTGTGGCCTGGCCTGGCTGCCGCGCTGGGCGCGGGCGCAGGGAGTACGTTTGGGCCAGCCCGAGGGTACCACCTGTGCGGGGCCGGGCCCCCTGGCCGGGCAGCCCCTGCTCAGTGCCCCCTTCCTGGACAGCGGCTGTGGTGAGTCAGGCAAAAAGTGGTTGGCTGGCTTGGCTGGTACTTGGGCTCCTGGAGAACCCAGTTTGGGGCAGGTGTGTGTGTCAGTGAGAGGGGGCAGGTGGCAGTCAGGGCCCTGCGGGAAGGGATGTCCCCACCATGTCTAAGGAGGGCCTGGGCTTCAGGTGGCAGAGGGCCGGAGAGGGTGTGTTGAAGTTCAGCCCCTGCCTGTCTGTCCCCAGGTGAGGAGTACATTGCCTGCCTCCCCGACAACAGCTCAGGGGCCTCAGCGCTGGTGGCCTTCTCAGTGGCCCACGAGGACCCACTGGCACCTGAGGCCTGCAGTGCCTTCTGTTTCTCCATGGGCCGTGGCCTGGCTGCGCTGTCTGAGCAGGGCATGTGTCTCTGTGGGGTGGCCCGGTCCCCTAACGCCTCTGCGGACTGCCTGTCCCTCTGCAACGGTGCCCCCCGGCCCCCCGCCTGTGGGGGCCCCACGCTGCTCCCACACGTCTTCCCCGCCTCCCCGGGGGCCACGCTGGAGTCACCCCGAGGGGCCCTGGCTGCTGGCCGCCCCGTGGCCTTCCGTGTCACTGCCCCCCTCCCTGTTGGCTCCGTGTGCTGGGACTTTGGCGACGGCTCCCCTGAGGTGGACATGGCCGGGGCTACAGCCACACACCGCTACCTGCTTCCTGGCCACTACCCCGTGAAGGCCAGGCTGGCCCTGGGGGCTGCCTCGGCCCAGCTGGCCTCCGAGGTGCGGGTGGAGGCGGTGCCTGCTGTCCTGGAGCTCCTGTGCCCTGCCTCGGTGCGCAGCCACCAGGGCCTGGAGCTCAGCCTTCGGAATCGAGGTGGCACCGGCCTGGAGGTCACCTACAGCATCGTGGCCCTGGACGAGCAGCCTGCCCGAGGTGTGGGTGCACCCCTGGGAGCCCCACCCTGGCCTCCTGGCCCTCCTGCCTCCCCACGCATAGCTGGGCCCCTGGGAGCCCTCTTCCCCTCCTGCTCCTCCCCCAGCCCCCGGGGGGAGGCAGCCCCTCAGCCCGTGTCACACCCTCAAGCCCCGCTCTGTTTGCGGTCTAGCGGTGCACCCCCTCTGCCCCTCCGGCACGGAGATCTTCCCTGGCAATGGGCACTGCTACCGCTTGGTGGCTGAGAAGGCACCCTGGCTACAGGCCCAGGATCTGTGCCACACCTGGGCCGGGGCCGCGCTGGCCATGGTGGACAGCCCTGACGTCCAGCACTTCCTCGTCTCCCAGGTCACCAGGTGCGCCCCGTCCTGGCAGCCAGTCTCCCCCCAGAGCTCAGATCTGTTAGCAGCCCTGTGCCTGCCCCCACAGCCCTGCACCTCCATCCACCTGCCCCCACCTGTGCCTGCAGCCCTGCACCTGCTCCTACCTGTGCTGGTCCCACCTGTGCCCATTGCTCTCCCCACCTGTACCTGCACCTCCGTCCAACAGCCCCTGCCCCAGTACCCACTTATGCTCACCTGTGTCTCACCTTTCACTGACATGTATGTCTCCATGCACACACATGCCTGCCTCACTTCTACCTACACCCACACCTCCACTCTGCCCCTGCCCTCCTTCCACCTGCCCCACACCCACCTGTGCCTATACCTGCTCCAACTTCTACCTGCCCCTGTGTCCCCACCCTAATCTACACTTACCATGCTTCCACTTCCACGTGTGCCCCATTGAAACCTGCCTCCACCATGCCCTACCTTCATCTACACCTGCCTCTGACCTCACACCTAACCTTACACCTTGCACTTACGGGGACCCAGGGCTGGTAGGGTGGAGGGCTCCGAGTTAGGGGTTGGTATGAGGCTCTCTTGATCCCCAACGTTGGCCCAGGGGTGTCTGCAAGGTGAGCAGTGTGTCTGCTCTGATAAAGGCCCCTCAGGGAGCATGCCCCCCCACCCCCACCAGGTGTGTGGCAGGTGGGGTGCTGCTCTGGGCCCCAAGGCAGACTGTCTGGTCTGGCTCTCCAGGTCTCACCTCTGAGTCTGTTTCCCCGCTTGGCACTCAGGGTGATGGTGGTTACACCCAGAAGGCAGGATGGGAGAGGAGAGGTTCCAGGAAGCCTGTGTCCTCTGCCCCTGCCCACCACCGTATGCCCGCAGGGGCCTGGACGTGTGGATTGGTTTCTCGGCTGTGGAGGGGGTGGAGGAGGCGGGTGCGGCTCCACGGGGTGAAGCATTCAGCCTGGAGAGCTGCCAAAACTGGCTGCCCGGGGAGCCCCACCCTGCCACTGCGGAGCACTGCGTGCGCCTGGGCCCTGCCGGCCAGTGCAACACGGACCTGTGCTCGGTGCCACACAGTTACGTCTGCGAGCTTCGGCCCGGGGGTAAGCGGCCTGCTGGCCTGACAGCAGCCTCCCACCCAACCCGGCCCGCCCCCCTGCCCAGACTCTACTGACCCTAGTGTGGCGGTGGGGCGGGGCGATAGAACATCCAACCTCTGCCCAGCCTACCCTGCCCTCCCACCCCTGGCTCCGACCCTGGCATGGGGCCCACACCATCCACCAGCCTTACTGCAGACTCGCCCTCAGGCCCTGTGTGGGACGCCGAGACCATCCTCGTAGGTGCGCCCAGTGGGGACTTAGAAGGCCCCCTGAGCCCCCTGGTGCAGCAGGAGGCCCTGGAGGCCCCCCAGGCACCCGTGGAGGTAGGCCGCACTCCAGGTCCCTGACTCCTGGCCATGCCCACCAGCTATGGGGGTGGGGGGCATGGGCAGCTCCAGGAAGGCTTGGCTGAGTGACACCCCTGCCCCCAGGTGATGGTCTTCCCCAGCCTGAGCCTGAGGCACGAGGCCTTCCTGACAGTGGCTGAGGTGGGGACCCAGGTGCTCAGGCGGCCTGCCCAGCTGAGGCTGCAGGTGTTCCGGCCCACCGGAGCTGTAGGTGGGAGCTGAGGGCCCCGTGCACCCCTCTTACCTTATGTCTGAGCCCCTGGCTAGTGTCCGGTGGGTGGATCATGCAGGGGGGCGGTGCAGTGCAGCCTGGCCCGGTACGCTGGGACTTTGGGCTGTGAGCCGTTTGTGAGCCGGGGTCCGAGAACCACTTCTTCCATGTAGGGTCCCCTGAAAATAGCAGTGAGCCTGAGCTAGGCACTCTGGAGAGTGGCACCACAATGGCCCCAGCTCGAGTGCCCGAGGGAAGCTGGTGCCCTTTGGGTAACACCAGCAAGACCCTGGATCCACCCCACGTGCCTCAAGCCTGTGTCAACAGTACCCCACCGGCACCCAGGCTGCCTGGGACAGACTACACCCTGTGGAGGGAGCTGCTGCTGACTGTGCCCGCGGGGCCCCCCACACAGTACTCGGTACGCGCCTCTCCCCTGGCCTGGTCTCCCATGGGCCTCCCACACTACTCGGTGCATGCCCCTACCTGGCCCCCATCTCCCCCGGGCCCTCTATAGTACTCAGTATGTTTCCCTACCTGGCATCCAGCCCCCCTCACCTTGTCTCCCTTGTCCTCCCCAAGCACCCTTCTGCCCCCGGGGCCTGTGTCCCAGCCCTGCTCCCTGGGGCCTTGGCATGGCTCGGTCATCTTCGTCCGGTGACTCCTCTCTGTGTGAGCCCCCGTCTGGGCCTCCTAGAGTCCCCAGCCCCCAACCAACTCCGAGAAGCTCTTAGTGAGCCGGGTCTCCAAGGCACTGCTGGGGCTGTGGATGCTGCGCGGCAGTGCTGTCCTGCCTGAGTAGATGGGGAGGGGCGGGGACTGCTGAGATCCCAGGGTAGCAGCTTCCCAGCCTATCCAGTGCCACCGCCCCCGGGTACCCTGCGGAGCCCTGGGTGGGGATGCCCTTCAACCCCCCTTCCTCTCCACAGATTGCTGTCCATGGCCTGGACGTGTCCTTGCTCCCCGGGGACCTCCTGGCCCTGCAGCATGACGCTGGTCCCGGGGCCCTTCTGCACTGCCCCCTGGCCCTCAGTCCTTCGGCTCCCTCAGCCCCTTACCTCTCAGCCAACGCCTCCACCTGGCTCACCCGGCTACCCACCCAGCTGGAGGAGGCCCCTGCTGGGCCAGCCTGTGCCCTGCGGCTGCTGGGAGCCACGGAGCGCCTCACGCCGCTGCTGGGCCCGAGCCCCCAGCCTGGGCTGCAGCGCCCTGGTCTCTACGCAGTGCAGGCCACGGTGGCTAGCGCCGTAGCCTCGCACAACCTCTCCTGCAATTTCACCGTGGGCTCTCCTGTGGCCGGGCTGCGCGTCGTGCACCCCCCCATCCTCGACGGCCACCTCTACGTGCCCACCAACCACTCGGCCGTGGTGCTAGCGGTGGACATGGATGGCAACGCCACGGCCACGGCCACTGCCCGCTGGCCTGGGGGCAACGCTAGTGCTCCCTTCGAGGCCCCCTGCCCCGCAGCGGTGGACGCTCTGCTGCCCAGCTGTCCCCAGCAGCCCAACGGCACGCTCTTCTCGGTGCTCACCCTGCCAGGGCTCGGGGAAGGTGAGCACCCCGTGGAGGTGCTGGTGCAGAGCGGCGGCAGCCAGGCCCACCTCAGCCTTCGGGTGACCGCGCAGGAGCCCGTGCGAGGCCTGCGAGCTGCACCCAGCCCCGAGGCCCGCGTGCTGCAGGGCGTCCTTGTGGTGAGTGGGCTGGGCCTCCCACTGGCCCAGAACCCCCGTGCCTGACCCCGACCCCCACCTAGAACCCCTTACGACACTCAGAACCAGGTCCCTTCCCCAGAACTTCCACTTCCCATGTGGCCTCACGCAGCCACCAGCGGACCTGCGGGGTGTCCACCCCAGCTCTAGGGGAACCCCGAAAGGTGGACTCAGCTACCTGAGCCACAGGGCAGTGGGGTGCATGTCCAGTGGAGGGGCCGGTGGGAGGAGGGGCGTCAGGTCTTGAGCAGTCTCTGCCTGCAGAGGTACAGCCCCATGCTGGAAGCCGGCTCGGACGTGGCCTTCCAGTGGACCATCGATGACAAGCAGTCTCTGACCTTCCACAACGTCGTCTTCAATGTCATCTACCAGAGTGCGACCACCTTCAAGCTCTCGGTGTGGCAGTGCCCTCCCCCTCATCTGTGCCTGGGGACCCTGGGGTGGTGGCAAGGGTCTGGGGAGGTGTGGCCTTAAAGACCCTGGGATAGTGACTGGGGCATGTGGCCTCAGGGACTCTGAGGTGGTGGTTGGGGATGTGTGGGGATACAGCCTCAGGGACGCTGTGATGCTGCTGGCTTGGGAGCTTGTGGGGGGCCCAGTCGGCAGCGACTGAGGAACGTATGTTGGGGCTCGTGGTGGCAGCTGAGGGCATGGGTACGGGTCTCGTGGTGTCAGCCGTGGGGCACCTATGGGGCTGTGGTGCCCTGGTCACCCTTTGGCTCACCTGTGCCCACCTCGGCAGCTGACGGCCTCCAACCACGTGAGCCACGTCACCGTCCACTACAACGTCTCTGTCGAGCGCATGAACCGCATGCGGGGATTGTGGGTGTCGGCCCTGCCACCCGTGCTGCCCCAGAACGCCACGCTGGCACTGACAGCCAGCGTGCTGGTGGACTCGGCCGTCGAGGTGGCTTTCCTGTGAGTGGGCAGGGCTGGGGGGCCTCGGGGTGGGCTGAGGCTGGGCATCCACGCCTCCCTCCACCGACTGCCTGCCCCTGCCCCACTAGGTGGACCTTTGGGGACGGGGAACAAGTGCTTGGCCAGTTCCGGCCCCCATACGACGAGTCCTTCCCAGTCCCGGAGCCCACGCTGGCCCAGGTGTTGGTGCAACACAATGCCACACACACCTACGTCACCCCAGGTGAGGTCGGGGCCGCATCACCTCCTCCACGGGGCGGGGGGGGGGGGGGCTTGGTCCCCCCTTCACCGCCATCCCATGGGCTGGTCTGTCCCTGCAGGTGACTACAACCTGACCCTGCTCGTGTCCAACACCTTCGAGAACCTGACCCAGCAGGTCCCCGTCCGTGTGCGGGCTGCCCTGCCTGCTCTGGCTGTGGGAGTGAGCAGCCGTGTTCTGGTGGCTGGCCATCCCGTGACCTTCTTTCCGCTGCCCACACCCATGCCCGGGGGCACCCTGTACACCTGGGACTTTGGGGACAGCACCCCCACCAGGCTGCAGTCCGAGCCAGCCGCCAACCACACCTTCTCTGCGAGGGGCACGTACCACGTCCGCCTGGAGGCCAACAACACACTGAGCTGCTCCGTGGCACAGGCGGACGTCCACGTCCTGGAGGCACCACGTGGCCTCCACGTGGACCTGGGCCCTGCCGCCGAGCAGGGTGCACCTGTGACGGTCAGTGCCACCCTGGAGGCCGGAGACAACATCACCTGGACCTTCGACATGGGTGACGGCACCATCCTGTCCGGGCCCGAGCCCACCGCCCGGCACGTGTACCTGCGGGCTCAGAACCACACCGTGACGGTGACGGCAGCAAGCCCCGCCGGCCGCCTGACCCTGAGCCAGCCCGTGTGTGTTTTCGTCCTGGAGGTGCTGCGCCTGGAGCCCACCGGCTGCATCCCCACCCAGCCCGCGGCCCCGCTGACGGCCCACGTCACCGGCAACCCCGCCCACTATGTCTTTGAGTGGACCTTCGGGGACGGCTCGCCCAACGTCACTGTCCGAGGGCGCCCCGTGGTGACGCACAACTTCACGCGCAGTGGCACCTTCCCACTGGTCCTGGTGCTGTCGAGCCGCGCCAACAAGGCCCACTACTTCACCAGCGTGTGTGTGGAGCCCGAGCTGGGCAACGTCACACTGTGGCCGGACCGGCAGTTCGTGCGGCTCGGGGAGGCTGCCCGGTTGGAGGCGCGTGCCTGGCCCCCCTTCTCGTACCGCTACACCTGGGACTGGGGCACCGAGGAGGCCGTCCGCCCAGGGGCCCCCGAGGCCACCCACACCTACCAGGAGACAGGCTCCTATCTGGCCACAGTCACTGCGTCCAACAACGTGTCGGTGGGCAACGACTCTGCCCTGGTGGAGGTGCAGCAGCCTGTGGTGCTGGAGGGCATCTCCGTCAACGGCTCCCGCGTGCTGGAGGCCCGGCAGCCCTACTGGTTTTTGGCGGTGGGCCGCGGCAGCCCCGCCCACTACCTGTGGGAGCTGGGGGATGGCACTCGGCTGGAGGGCCCCCAGGTCTCCCACACCTACAACCACACCGGCCGCTTCACCGTCTCGGTGGCCGGCTGGAACGAGGTGAGCCGGGGCGAGGCGCAGCTGAACGTGATGGTGGCACGGCGGGTGCAGGGGCTGCGGGTCAACGCCAGTCGCACGGTGGTCCCGCTCAACGGCAGCGTGAGCTTCAGCACGACGCTGGAGACGGGCAGCGACGCCCACTACTCGTGGGTGCTGTGCGACCGCTGCACCCCCATCCCCGGGGGCCCCACCATCTCCTACACCTTCCGCTCAGTGGGGACCTTCAACATCATCGTCACGGCGGAGAACGCGGTGGGCGCCGCCCAGGACAGCATCTTCGTCTACGTGCTGCAGGCCATTGAGGGGCTCCAGGTGGCGGGCAGCAGCGGTGGCTGCTTCCCCACCAACCGCACGCTGCCCCTGCAGGCCACCGTCCGCGAGGGCACCAACGTCTCCTACAGCTGGACCGCCCAGCGCACTGGGGGTGCCGTGCTGGCTGCTGCCGGCCGCCTCTTTCCCCTCAGCGTGCCTGAGCCGGGGGCCTACCTCGTCCAGCTGCGGGCTGCCAACCTACTGGGCAGTGCCACAGCCAACCGCACGCTGTGCTTCCTGGACCCCGTGGGGGCTCTGGCTGTGACCGCCACCCCCAACCCTGTCGCCACCCATGCCAGCGTCACCCTGGTCGCCCACCTGGAGGGTGGCAGTGGCATTACGTTCACCTGGGGCCTCGAGGGCGGGCCGAGCTGGGTGACCACAGACCTTGCCACCACCCACACATTTGGCAGCCCTGGCCTGCACCTGGTCACCGTCACAGCTGAGAATGCACTGGGTGCGGCCAACGCCTCCGTGGCGGTGCTGGTGCAGGTCCCTGTGGCCGGCCTCACCATTGAGGCTGGCGAGCTGGATGGAGGCTTTGTGGTGGCTGGCACCACCATAGCCTTCCAGGGCCAGCTGGCTGCCGGCACCGACGTGAGCTGGAGCTGGGTGGTGCCTGGGGGCCGCAGGCTGCAGGGCCAGCAGGTGACCACGGCCTTCCCCGAGGCCGGCACCTTTGCGGTGCAGCTCAACGCCTCCAATGCCGTCAGCTGGACGGTGGCCACTCGCAGCCTGACGGTGGAGGAGCCGGTGGCGGGCCTGGTGCTGTGGGCGGGAAGCAAAGTGGTGGAGCCTGGGCAGCGGGTGGACTTCCAGGTGCTGCTTGCCGCCGGCTCGGACGTGGTGCTGCGCCTGCAGGTGGGTGGGGCTGAGGCCGAGCCGCTGGCCGGGCCTCGTTTCTGGCGCAGCTTCCCACGTGCCGGGGACTACGTGGTGAGCGTGCGGGCCGAGAACCACGTGAGCCGGGCACAGGCACAGGTGCGCGTGGCCGTGCTGGAGGCCGTGGCCGGGCTGTGGACGCCGCACTGCTGCCCGCCCGGCGTGCCCACCGGGGCAGAGCAGAACTTCACAGCGCGTGTGCAGCGTGGTTCCCGTGTGCAGTATGCCTGGTACTTCTCGCTGCAGAAGGTGCAGGGGGACTCGCTGGTCATCCTGTCGGGCCGCGAGGTCACCTACACGCCCGTGGCGGCCGGCCTGCTGGAGGTGCAGGTGCGCGCCTTCAACGAGCTGGGGGGCGTCAACGTCACGCGGCGCCTGGAGGTGCAGGACGTGCTGCAGCACGTGGCGCTGCACACCAGCCGCCTCTTCGCCAACCGCTCGGCCCGCTTCCAGGCCGACACCAGCCCCAGCCCGCGCCGGGTGGCCTTTCGCTGGGACTTTGGGGACGGGGCCCCCCCGCAGGCCACGCAGGAGCCCTGGGCCGCTCATGCCTACCTGCAGCCGGGGGACTACCGTGTGCAGGTGAACGCATCCAACCTGGTCAGCTTCATGGTGGCGCAGGCCACGGTCACCGTGCACGTTCTGGCCTGCGAGGAGCCCACCGTGGACGTGGCTCTGCCCCCGCAGGTGCTGATGCGCCGCTCGCAGCGCAACTACCTGGAGGCCCACGTAGACCTGCGTGGCTGCGTCACCTACCAGACAGAGTACCGGTGGGAAGTGTATCGCACCGCCAGCTGCCAGCGGCCTGGCCAGGCCGCCCCCCTCACTCTGCCTGGCGTGGACGTGAGCCGGCCGCAGCTGGTGTTGCCACGGCTGGTGCTGCCTGTGGGATACTACTGCTTTGTGTTCGTGGTGTCCTTTGGGGACACGCCACTGGCCCGCAGCATGCAGGCCAACGTGACAGTGGCCCCCGAGCGCCTGGTGCCCATCATCGAGGGCGGCTCCTCCCGCGTGTGGCCGGACACACAGGACCTGGTGCTGGACGGCCGCCGCTCGCACGACCCCAACCTGGAGGACGGCGACCAGACGCCGCTCAGCTTCCACTGGGCGTGCACGTCCACCACTGCCTCCCAGGTCCCTGCCCCTGCAGCGGGAGGGGAGGGCCCCCAGGCGGGCGAGCGGGCGGGTGGGCAGCGAGACGGGCTCTTACCACCCCTCCTTGCGTGCCCCATCTGCAGAGTGAGGCCAGTGGGTGTGCCCTGAATTTTGGGCCCCGAGGGAATCCCGTGGTCACCATCCCTCGAGAGCGGCTGGAGGCCGGCGTGGAGTACACCTTTGACCTGACTGTGTGGAAGGCTGGCCGCAAGGAGGAGGTGACCAACCAGACGGTAGGTGCTGGCTGTCTGTACACCTGTGTGCGTGCCTTGGGTGGATTTGGCTAGGGTCTAGATAGGGGTGGGGGGGTGCGGACAAATCAGGGCCTCCAGGTAGTGCTCAAAGGGCCCTTGGGGAGGGGCTAGCGTGGACCCACTCCAGGACAGACCCCGCTCAGTGGGCTCAAGACTATAGCCCTTGGGCTGCTTCCAGGGCCAAGGTCAGCTCCGTGGTCTCCCTGCCCCATAGGTGCTGATCCGCAGTGGGCGGGTGCCCATCGTATCCCTGGAGTGCGTGTCCTGCAAAGCACAGGCCGTGTACCAGGTCAGCCGCAGCTCCCACCTCTACCTGGAGGGCCACTGCCTCAACTGTGGCCCTGGCGCCAAGCAGGGGGTGAGTAAGCCATCTGGCCCCCGCAGCCCTGGCCCTTGCCCCTCACTTCCTAGCCCCCTTGCCCATCCAGCACCCTTGCTGTGCCCCTTCCTTCACTTGGCCCACTCCTCACTGCCCCGCCCTCGCTGGGCCCCCCCTCACCGGCCCCACCCCCCCTCCCCACAGCGCTGGGCAGCGCGCACCTTCGGCAATCAGACGCTGGTGCTGGATGAGGCAAGCACGTCGACGGGCAGCGCAGGCATGCGGCTGGTGGTGCGGCGCGGCGTCCTGCGCGACGGCGAGGGCTACATCTTCACACTGACGGTGCTGGGCCAGTCGGGCGGGGAGGAGGGCTGTGCGTCCATCCGCCTCGCCCCCAACCGCCCGCCACTGGGCGGCTCCTGCCACCTCTCCCCGCTGGACGGCGTGCACGCCCTGACCACCAAGGTGCACTTCACATGTTCAGGTGAGAGCAGCCGGCCAGTGGGGCCCTGCCGTGCCCTGCCCGTGCCCTGCTGACTCTCTGCCTTGCAGGCTGGCGCGATGCCGAGGATGCAGGTGCTCCACTGCTGTACGCGCTGCTGCTGCGACGCTGCCGCCAGGGCCACTGCGAGGAGTTCTGTGTTTACAAGGGCAGCCTGCCAGCCTATGGGGCGGTGCTGCCGCCCGGCTTCCCCCCGCAGTTCACTGTGCACCTGGCCGTGCTCGTGTGGGACCAGCTGGGTGCCGCTGTGGTTGCCCTCAACAGGTGAGCCATGTGGCCTGCGGGCACCAAGGCTGCGGCAGCTCCCCAGCTGATGGCGGCCTCCTCGCAGGTCCCTGGTCATCATGCCCCCCGAGCCTCCTGGTGGCTCCGTGGGCCTGACGCGCTGGCTGCATGATCTCACGGAGAGCAAGCTCCCTGGGCTGCTGCGACAGGCCGACCCCCAGCACGTCATCGAGTACTCCCTGGCCCTGGTCACTGTGCTGAACGAGGTCAGTATAGCAGGCCAGGGTGGGGCTGGGCAGGGCACGGGCAGGGAGCCTCCTGACCACAGCTGTCCAGGGTAGGGTCTGGGAGTGGCTGACAGCCCTGCCCGCTGCCCCCCATCCTGCAGTATGAGCAGACTCCTGCAGCTGCGGCAGAGCCTGCCCAGGAACGGCAGCTGCGTGCCCAGATACGCAGGAATGTCACCGAGACGCTGGTGTCCCTGCGTGTGGACACGGTGGACGACATCCAGCAGGTTGCCGCCGCGCTGGCGCAGTGCACGGTACGCCCACACCCGACCCATCCGGATGCGCAGCGTGTAGGCCCAGGGCATGAGGGCCAAGCCAGCTCCCGGCACCCCCACCACCTAGGCAGGCTTAGGGTCCCTGTTGGTGGCAGATGGGGGGCCCCGTCAGACCCTCTTGGGCCCAGGGTGGTGGGAGCTTCGGGGGCGTTCAGCAGGGGCACAGGGACCCAGGCCAGCTTCCCCCAGGTGTCTCGCAGGGAGCTGGTGTGTCAGCCCTGCCTGAAGAAGACGCTGCACAAACTGGAGGCCATGATGGGCGTCCTACAGGCTGAGACCACTGAGGGCACCGAGACACCCACCACCATCGCCGACAGCATCCTCAACATCACTGGTACACGCTCCCCACCGCCCTCCGGTGCCCCCCGGCACCCACCCCGAGGACACGTGGCCCCTGTTCTCTCCAACCCCGCTGTCTGCACAGCCTCCCATGTAGCACCTCCAGGGACCTCTCAGTTTGCCAGGACCTTTTCCCCTTTGCCCTGGCACCTCCAGGGACCCGGCAGCCTGCCTCCTGCCCACTCTCCCTCCTGCTCAACTCCCCGCTCAGAGTCTCCAGGGACCGCCACTGCCCTAGCCGCCGCCTCCTGGCTGCACCCCGACTCTAAACCCAGTCTTCTGCTGATCTCCACAGGTGACCTCATCCACCTGGCCAGTGCAGATGTGCAGGGCCAGCCTCCAGGAGACCCCGGCGTGCTGGGAGCAGCGCAGCCCTCGCTGCTGGTGGCCTCCCGGGCCTACAACCTGTCGTCCGCCCTCATGTGCATCCTCACGCGCTCGCGAGTACTCAATGAGGAGCCGCTGACGCTGGCCGGCGAGGAGATCGTGGCCCAGGGCAAGCGCTCGGACCCTCTGAGCCTGCTGTGTGCGGGCCAGGCCGTGAGCCCCGACTGCCACTTCTCCATCCCGGCCGCCTTCAGTGGGGCGCTGGCCGGCCGCAGCGAGGTGGTGCAGCTCATCTTCCTGGTGGACTCCAACCCCTTCCCCTTTGGCTACATTGGCAACTATACTGTCTCCACAAAGGTGGCCTCCATGGCCTTCCAGACGCAGGCCGGCCACCAGATCCCCATCGAGCGGCTGGCCTCCGAGCGCGCCATCACTGTCACGGTGCCCAGCAACACCGGCCCAGGCCACAGCGTGCCCGCCGCTGCCATCACCACTGTGCCCCCGCGGGCCTCCGTCAGCGCCGAGGTGGTCCCTGAGAGCAGCAACCCAGCCGCTGCCCTGCACCTGCAGCTCACCTTCTCCGTGCTTGATGGTGCGCTGGCGAGGGGGCACTTTGGGGAGGGGGGCTGGCCTGCATGTGGGGAGCCCCCAGGTCACGCTGACCCAGCCAACCACCCCCAGAGACCTACCTGTCGGAGGAGCCCGAGCCCTACCTGGCTGTGTACCTGCATGTGGCGGCCCGGCCCAACGAATACAACTGCTCTGCTAGCCGGCGGATCAGCCTGCAGGTGCTGGCGGGCAAGGACCACAGGCTCTACACCTTCTTCATTGCTCCCGGGTGAGCTGGTCCCCGAGTGAGCTGTCTGAGTGGGTCCGTGGGGCATGGTGGGGCACTAAGATCGGGCTTTGACACGCCTCCCCCACCCTCCCTGCCCCCCAGGACCACAGAGCCCGGTGGGAGCTACCACCTGAACCTGACCAGCCACTTCCACTGGTCAGCGCTGGAGGTGTCTGTGGGCCTCTACACGTCCCTGTGCCAGTACTTCAGCGAGGAGGACATGGCCTGGCGCACGGAGGGGATTGTGGCGCTGGAGGAGACCTCGCCCCGCCAGGCCGTCTGCCTCACTCACCACCTCACTGCCTTCGGCGCCAGCCTCCTGGTGCCGCCCAGCCGCATCAGCTTCGTCCTTCCTGTGAGTGAGGATAGCCTCCAGGCTGGGCTGTTGGTCGGGGGTGGGTGGGTGGGTGGGGGTGGTGGTGTGTCCAGGGGAGCCCAACCTGATGCCCTCCTGCCTCCCCCCTCGCAGGAGCCGTCGGCGGGCATGAACGTCGTCGTCCTGCTGACATGCGCTGTGTGCCTGCTGACCTACGCGGTCATGGCGGTGCTCCTGCGGAAGCTGGACCAGCTGGATGTGCGTCGGGTCCGCGTCATCCCGTTCTGCGGGAAGGGCGGCTGCTTCAAGTACGAGATCCTGGTCAAGACCGGCTGGGGCCGAGGCTCCGGTGAGCAGGGCGGTGGCTCTCTGGGGCGCCCTCTCTCGACGGCGAGTGGGAAGTGTTAGGGCCGCAGCCCTGGCATTGACATGGTTGCCCGCTGGCCTCGGTGGCTGCCAGCACCCCACTGTGTGCGCCCACACGCCTCGAAGGTTGGGCTGTAGCGCCCAGGGTCCTACAAAGGTCCCTCTAGACACATGCTGGATGCTGGTTACAGGTGCGCGGGGAGTTGAGGTTACAGTTGTATGGGAGTGGGAGGGTAGTGTGCACACTGGTCACAGCCAACTCCGAGAGCAGCCAGGTGATGGCGCGGGCCTGGGTGTGCACCTGGCACCTGTGCCACGGTGGCGGGTGGGAGAACAACAGCCGTGGCTGCCTAGGGCGGTGGCAGACTGTGTTGCGGTGTTAGGCTGGCACCTGCTTACCCAGGTGGAGGTCACCTGTACCCGGCCAGTGAGGTGACATGACTGGGCCTATTCCCCCCCACCCCCGCCAGGCACCACCGCACACGTGGGTATCATGCTGTTTGGGGCGGAGAGCCGCAGTGGCCACCGGCACCTGGACGGCAGTGGGGCCTTCCACCGCAACAGCCTGGACATTTTCCAGATCGCCACGCCCCACAGCCTGGGCAGCCTGTGGAAGATTCGCGTGTGGCACGACAACAAGGGTCAGGGCGCCCTCACTCCGCAGCCCTGCCCGCCCAAGTCCCAACCGCTCTCCCAGGGCTCGGCCCCACCCCATCCAGGCCCTAGCTCCTCCCCCAGGGCCCAACCACGCCCCATCCAGGCCCTAGCCACTCCCCCAGGGCCCAAC